CGTTTGACCCAGGATAGGGTGTGGCTTTCCACACACAGCCACAAGCATCCCTTGACAAGCCTGGAGCAGCCAGAAGGAGCAGACATGGGCTTTTGTTGTATTTAAGCCAACAGTTTTGTTCGCCTCTGAAGAGCAAAATAAGAAAATATCTGAGTCATTAGACTGAAGGAAGACAGAAATCATAATCATACTTTGAGATCTCCTGAATGGAGAATCAAATGGTCCAAAATAGCTTATGGTGGGAAAAGAGCATATTCAGCTCCACTATTGACATAGTATTGAAATATCTTTCATCTATGCTTTAAGTCAGGCTAGAATTAAAGCTCAATATCTGGAGACAACATCCAAGAACATCCTAGGTTTTTTTTTTTTTTCTGGCACTATTATGCTCTGTATGCCTAAGACTTTCCTCACTGCCTAAAGAGATCGAAGATCCTCCAAAGGATATGTTTTTTCCATTTTCCTACCTTTAAAAGGAGAAATTCTTAACCAGTTGTTGACTGTTGAGGCTCCTTGGAAGTCTTTTTGGTTCATCCTCTTCTGAAATGATTAGAATATCTAGATTCTCAAGTTCCACAAAACTCAGGGTATCCTTGATGCTTTGCCTCTGATAACCTTAGTCTAAAGCTCTGCTGCTCATGTGACATGTGTGCAGGTTCCTGGTTCTACCATTACTAATTGTTTAAACCTGGGCAACTTGTTGGGAGACACTTCTCCATGGTTCTCTGTGTGTCTTCACACCTTTCAGGCAGAGGCACTGACTACCTTTGTTTTAGAATTTGTTTCAAGCATGTTTGTTTAGTAAATCACCTTTGAAGAAAGAGACAGTGTCTCCTTCTGGAGCAAAAGGCAGGCATGTTAGTGTCCGTTATAAAAATTCCTTTAACTCATTATACAATTCCTGTAACTCAGTCTATGTGTGTGCAGGTCTCACCGGACCCTCTTTGGGTTGCTCTCTAAGGAACTGGGATTCAGGAAATTGGCAAATGAAAATGCTGATACTCTGTCTACTGCTAGTGCTGTGAGTAATAAAGTGCTTTGTTTCTTACCCAGAAATCTCCTGTCTTCTGCAAGCTTTGATGAAACAGGCAGGCTAACTTGCTGGCTTTCAAGTATGGCAAAATAACAGACCATTGACGGTTTTTGACACTTTTAAAAACAGTATTAATCCTCAGTTTCCTCATCTGTAAAACAGACTTTAAAAATAGTACTGACCTATTTGTAGTGAGGACGATAAGCCCTATACTAGTCATATACTAAGCCCTCAAGAAATATTTGCTATCACTGTTATTAAAGTGATACATTCACCCTTTACCTTAAATGAATAAATTCTTATGTGTAGTCTTATTTTGAAAGAAAAAACTTCTGTTCAAAGATTCTGTTAAGAAACGTATAACTTCAAGATATCCTTCAAGTATTTAGAGCCAGTTTCTTTCATCTGTGAGATTCACACTTTCTCTTCTCAGTTTTTTTGCAGAACAATTTTATATAAAATCTTGGATGGATCTAATGTAGAAGCTTACATTCAAAACCAAAAACATTTCTTTTATTTGTTTCCATGGAAAGAAATGAGAAAAAGGAGATTTGTAGAATAACATTCTTAGCTTAGTTGGGCTTATGATTAAAAATTTAACTTCCAGGGGCTTCCCTGGTGGCGCAGTGGTTGGGGGTCCGCCTGCCGATGCAGGGGACATGGGTTCGTGCCCCGGTCCGGGAGGATCCCACGTGCCGCGGAGCGGCTGGGCCCGTGAGCCATGGCTGCTGAGCCTGCGCGTCCAGAGCCTGTGCTCCACAACGGGAGAGGCCACAACAGTGAGAGGCCCACGGACCACACACACACACACACACCCACACACACACACACACACCCACACACACACACACACACCCACACACACACACACACACCCACACACACACACACACACCCACACACACACACACACACCCACACACACACACACACACCCACACACACACACACACACCCACACACACACACACACACCCACACACACACACACACACCCACACACACACACACACACCCACACACACACACACACACCCACACACACACACACACACCCACACACACACACACACACCCACACACACACACACACACCCACACACACACACACACACACACACACACACACACACACACACACAATTTATTTTCTAAAACATCTTGTCTTTATTCCTCAAGAGAACTGGCTGAAGGCACAATGGAGAAGCTGCTTTCAGCAGAACATGTCAGGGTGACCACGTGAGAGCCCACGTCTAATGTGTGAGAGCCTACATCTAATGTGTAGCTTTATTGCTGCCCTTGATATATGAAGATGGGAGAGGTATACACTGTAGATATAATTGTGTTACTCTTTCTCTTAAGATGCCTCCTTGGGTTCCTTTTACTGACAGGGAAAAGTCACAGTTGTTTGGTCAGGTTTTTCAGGCCCTTCCAGTCTGTCCAGCGTCACCTTCAGCACATCTTGTACTTTAACTCTTTTACTTCTTCATAGGTCCCTGGGCCTTTTGTGCTCTTCACCCCCGCTGTACATTTTAGACCTATGTCTTTCTCTTCTTTCTACCCAACACAATCCCATTCATCTTTTTTTTTTTTTTAATAACTTTGACATATACTTTTGTTTTCAATTTATTTTTTATTTTTGACTGTGTTGGGTCTCCGTTGCTGTGTGCAGGCTTTCTCTAGTTGCGGCGAGCGGGGGCTACTCTTCATTGCGGTGCACAGGCTTCTCATTGCGGTGGCTTCTCTTGTTGCAGAGCGTGGGCTCTAGTGTGCGGGCTTCAGTAGTTGTGGCACGAGGGTTCAGTAGTTAGCGGCTCACGGGGTCTAGAGTGCGGGCCCGGTAGTTGTGGCGCACGGGCTTAGTTGCTCCATGACATGTGGGATCTTCCCGGACCAGGGCTCGAACACGTGTCCCACGCGTTGGCAGGCGGATTCTTAACTACTGCGCCACCAGGGAAGTCCCTCCCATTCATCTCTTGAGGGTCAGTTCAAGTTTCTCTTTCTCTGGGAGCCTTCTTTGCTTCTTCTAAGTAGAATTGGCTGATCCTTTCCTTGTCTGACTCACATTCTTAGTTAACGTCACTATTCTTACTCTTAAAGAATTGCTCTGTATTTATCTGGCTATGGTCTATTTCACCTAACTCATTGCTAGTGTTGCTTGAGGGCAGAGATTGTCTTAATCATTTTTTATATCTTCTTTGATATGCACAGTGCCTGGCAAATGGTAGATTTTTTTCTTATCGATGGAGCATAGCATGGGACTGGTCAGCTTTTTTGAGATTTAAGCCATAGGATTTGTTTCATTGGCACTTGGTTAAACCTCGGTGCTTCTTAATACCAGTTGCTCATTGGAACACATGGAGAGCTTTGGAAAAATTTCCAGTGTGTGAGCCCAGGGACATTGACTGCACCTAATCTCATGGATTTGGATTTAGTTTGTTTTAAGTGGAGTCCAGGGGTTGTTAATAATAACAGTAAGTGCTTACATAGCTCTTACTATATAAGGCACTATTTCAGGCACTGTTTACTTACATTAATTTATAAGCATTTTCTTTTGAAAGCCAACGTTGAGAACCACTCCAGTCTGGCTAAATGGCAAGAAAATATAATTACTGAGGTTGAAGTAAAATAATGACACATAATGATACAACTAAGCTGGATGCTTTTAGCAGAGCCTATTTGTTTGTTTGTTTGTTTTAGTTTTTAATTAAATAGGGGAGTAAAAAAGCAATCCCAATGTGTGCAACTGTGATGAGTTGTGGTTAGACCAGAAAAAATTTTCAGTGACTGCAGGAAGAATTCAGATCGCAGAAAGAGATGTTAAACATTAAGAATCACTTTTCTAGTTGAAGGTCCAGCTCTCATGAGACAGCATTTTATTAACCAATTTCCCATAAAAGTTTGTCTTTGCTCACTGGAGCTTTTCACTTTCGAAATGGAAGGGCTAATTTGACTGGACATCTTTGCAGCTATTTAAAGGAAGTGTAACGTCTGGAAAAAAAGAGACTGTAATGATGAAAGTAAAGCGATATTATAAGAGATTGGACTGAAAATGGTCTTAGGTTAAAATAGTAAGTTTAGAGCAGTAAAAGGGGGATTTTATGTACCATATTTAATTATGAAAAGACTTTTTTTTCATATAAAACATATTATAAAAATAGTTTGCTTTTGTATTAAAACACATTTTTCTGGCTTTCTTAAGGAACATGATTAGTATGGTTCGGGCCACCCTCAGTACTGCACCTAGCTTCCTTACTAACCTTTTTGGTGCTTTTCTCTCTCCTCCCATCCATCCTTCCTGCCTGCCAGTTATCTGTCATCACCTACCCAGGCGGTGCATGGAGGGTTAACCTCAGTGTGGCAAGGCACATGTGGTCCTGGGCCTGTAATAAACCTGCCCACTTGGGTGGTACAGGGAGTGGGGAGAAGAATGTCACAAAATTCAGTGTCTACAGAGCAAGGCAACAGGGAGTCATTTGATGGCAGCCATTGGGTATCAATGGAAGCTGGAAAAACATGACCACATGGAAGTCAGATCGAGCGAGACCGGAAGATGTACCCAGACAGTAGAAGAGAAGTCATGTCTGCCAGGCCATAGCCATAGCAAGTTGGATTTTACTTCCTGTGGTAAACGAGTGTTGTCTCAGGGATCAATCTCCACCCCATGTGTCCTGAGGTCAATAGGGCTATAAATAAAGTGAATAAACCAGGGCCTAATTACTAGAGTTGAGAATAAGGTGGATGTGGTCTTAAAATAAGACAAACTGTTTTTAACCCTTAGGCACAAACTGAGAGGCAGGTAAGTCAGAAAAGTGACTTGATCCTAGGTCTCAGAATCAAACCAGAGTTCCTTAAGGGACCAGGTTTTACCTATAGGTGATGATGGTCAAGTAGTTTAGATGTAGGTAGAAGATGGATGCAATGTTTGAGGTACAGACAAAGTCCATCTTCTTAACACCTAACTCTGGTCTTCTGATCCATTTTCTTCAATTGTTTCCTATAGATTATAGAATAAACCAGTCTCATTAATCTGACATGTAGGCTTTCTAGAATCTGGTTTCAACTATTTTATTTGTTTTTTCACTTTTCCTTATCATATCTTCTTCCCCCAGCTCCTATACCTACTTGCTTTGCCTAGAGCCTACAATTCTATAATCCAGACTAGTTAAATATTTTTCTTTGTCTGAACACACCATATACTTTACTGGCTTGATGCTTTTCTCAAAAGTTTCTCCTTCTTATCTACCCATTATGTAGAAACCATTCCTAAATACCAAATGTTGGCAGTAATTTATTTTTTCTCTTTTTATTTCCCCACTTCTACCACTGACATGCCTTTTCAAGTGAAGTCTCATGTTGGCGTGATTCATCTGAATGTTTCTCATGAAGCCCAGTATAGTGGGAAAGACAAAAACAGAGGTTTCTAAAGACCTAACTTATTGACCGTAGTTTTGACATTACATATATTTTAAAAATCACATTGGATCGCGCTGCCGGCGTGCAAGGTGGCGGTGAAGAAAGACAAGAAGCCTAAGAAGTCAACTTGGAAGTTCAATTTGGACCTTACTCATCCAGTAGAAGATGGAATTTTTGATTCTGGAAATTTTGAACAGTTTCTATGGGAGAAGGTTAAAGTGAATGGAAAAACTGGAAATCTTGGGAATGTCGTTCACATTGAATGCTTCAAGAATAAAATCACAGTTGTTTCTGAGAAACAGTTCTCTAAAAGGTATTTGAAATACCTTACCAAGAAATACCTTAAAAAGAACAATCTTCGTGATTGGCTTCGTGTGGTTGCATCTGACAAGGAGATTTATGAACTTCGTTACTCCCAGATTAGTCAAGATGAAGATGGATCCGAGTCTGAGGACTAGATGAAGCCATAACTTTCAGGGCTTTGCTTGCTAACAGAACAAATGAAGTATACAAGAAAACGTCTTGAAATGGACCTTTAGTTTATCAGTGAATAAAAAACATTACTCTGTATGTTAAGCATTCATCTCTTTAAGTGTATGCTGTATATATGGTGCTGGCTTTCCTTTAATACTTAAAAAAAATTTTATTGGGGTGTGGTTGATTTACAGTGTTGTGTTAGTTTTGGGTATACAGCAAAGTGAATCAGTTATACACATGCACTCCTTTTCTTTTTTAAGATTCTTTTCTCATATAGGCCATTATGGAGTACTGAGTAGAGTTCCCTGTGCTATGCGGCAGGTTCTTATTGGTTATCTGTTTTATGTATGGTAGTGTGTACATGTCAGTCCCAATCTCCCAGTTTATCCCCCCCCCCCCTTTTTCCCTGGTAACCATAAGTTTGTTTTCTACATCTGTTACTCTACTTCTGTTTTGTAAATAAGTTCATTTGTACTCCCCTGTTGTTGTTGTTTTTAGTACTTTCTGTAAGCGGTATTTAAATAGCCTATAGCTAGTGGAATTTCTTCCAGGATTTCTGAGGTGTACTACTTTTACAAATGTCCTTGAGTTAAAGTATATAGTGAAAAAATGAAGCACAATTTTGGGTATAACTTTATATAATAAAATATTTAAATTCTAAAAAAAAAATCACATTAATTTACATGTTTTGAGTTTTTGTAGACTTTATTGGATTTGAAGAAAACCCCATACTCTTATTGAGCAAACTCTGAAGTCTTATCAGTAGCCTTAAAAACAATTTGGAAAATTCAGATTTTAAGAATTTTTAAATGTAGTTGCATAGCATATGTATGTATATTGTGAAGTTGACCCTTGAACAACCTAGGTTTGCACGGCGCCGGTTCATGTACACGTGGATATTTTTCAGTAGTAAATACTACAGCACTACGTGATCCTTGGTTGGTTGAATCCGTGCATGTGGAACTACAGATGTGGAGGAACCGTGTAGTTGGAAGGCTGACTATATGTTATACGTGGATTTTCAACTGCCCAGAGAGTTGGCGCCCCTAACCTCCACGATGTTCATGAGTCAAATGTATCTTTATTCTGTTATATAAAACAAAGACATTTGTGTATGATTGGATTTTCATGATATTCAGAAAGGTAAAACCATGATAAAATCATTTTTGTGAACTTAGAAGAAAAATGATTAACTTGGATTAAAAAGTTCAACAATAGGTCTACTCATTACCTGGAACCATTAATTTAGAGTAATAGCAATTACTGAATAATTGCCTATGAATGAGAAGGGGTTGCTCAGTATTCAAAACTTTTTCTCAGTTTCATGCAGATCAGTGGCTCTCAACAAGGAATGATTTTGACTTGCCTCTGAGGGGTATCTGACAATATCTGGAGACGTTTTGGGTTTTCACAAATGGAAGCAGTGCTACTGGCATCTAGTGGGTAGAGGCCAGAGGTACTGCTAAATGTCCTGCAATGCACAGGCTACTCCCCCACAGCAAAGACCTATCTGGTCCAAAATGTCATTGGTGCTGAGGCTGAGAAACTGGATATAGACCAAGGCTAATGTTCGGTCTGTTGAACTTGACTTTATACATATATATATATATATATATATATATATATATACACACACATATATATATATGTATATATAATATTTAAATATACAAATCTATACAATATATATGATATACATAAATTTATATATATAACATATATATACAATATAATATATATCTTTTTCCCATGAAAGTATCAGCCATAGAGATATATTAGTTTCAGAAAGTAATCAAAGTAGAAATTACATAAAGTATAATTAAGATATAGAATTATGACCTTTCAGAGATTGTGGATTCTTATTACACTGAAATGTGCTGGTTTGAGTTTTTCTTAAATAAGTGAGCCCAATCCTCTGTCTAAGACATAATTTAATAATCCCCAGGCTTTTGTGGTGGTCATATAAATTGTTTTGGTCTGGGTTCACATGGGGTCAAACTACATGTTTCCATGGTCTCTCTGAATTTCAGGTGTTGCTTGATGGAGGAATATGGTAAATGGGAAGATGGAGGTAAGGTGATTAGTCTGCTAATCAGCTGTAACATTGGAACTTTTCTTCCCTTTTAAAGCTTTGCATCACTTGGGCTTTTAAGACTTTCTGTCAAACTACTTATAACCCAAACGACTTACAGAAAAACTCTGCAAGGTGAGGTCAGTGTGCACTTCAAGGCCAGGGCAGAAGACTCTACTCCGCCATTTGTTTTCACTGTTTGGTTTAGCCTCTTCCATTAAACCAGATGGATAAGCAGGGCACGTATGGCATATGAAGTGGCTGGGCCTCCTGGAAGGCCTGAGCTGTGGACTCTGAGGCCTGTTGCTGTGCATTCATGTTTGAGTTCAAAATTCTCCTACTCATTTGTGCAGGGCAGAGGCCAGGCACATCTGAGTTTAGCAGGAAGCATCCACTCTGAAATCCAAAATGTTCATCTAGGAGGAAAACACTTTCAGTTGCAAAGGTCTTCTCATCTGTGATCTGCTTTTCTTTTCCTTGGTGTCACTGAGCTCCCAATTCCTGACTCAGGCTGGTGGGAAATTGCCATTTTGAATCCAATTTGGATTGAATTTCCTTCTGCCTGGCCTTGTGGATGCTCCTGGAGGTAGAGAAACTGCTCTGTGGACCTGTAAAGATCGGGAAGGTCAAGGCCATCTCTAGTGTTGACAGTCGTAGCTCTGGGCCTGGTGGCAGGGTTAGCCTGGGACCATGGTCAGGTGATTAGTAGACACACTGGTCCCATCGAAGGGTGAACCTCCTCAGCGAGATGGAGTGGATCAGGCTGCTACCATAATTTGTTCACTTTTGCTTCTGTTGTAGTTCGTGGTCACGGTAACTTTCACATTTTACACAGTGGTCCTCTATTTTGGAGGCTGTAGTGGTTTTATGAGCTCATAAGTGGTGATAAGCATAGATTTTGGAATCAGAAAGTGTCCATCACATGTTAGCCGATAAACCTGCAAGTTACTTAACCCCAGTGAGTCTCAATTTCCTCATCTAAAAATGGATAGAATAGTGCCTCCATAACTAGATCAGATCAGATATTGTATTGTGGTGTGGTAAGAGTATGTCTTCCAGAGCCAGGCTGCTTGGGATTTACCCTGGCTCTGCCATTTGCTAGCTGGTTGGTCTTGAACACAATGCTTTATCTTTCTGTGCTCTATGGAGATAATAATAGGATCCGCTTAGAGGGTTGTTGTCAGGGTTAAGAGGCTGAATCACTTTGCTGTACACCTGAAACTAATACAACATTGTAAATCAACTGTACTCCAATAAAATTAAATAAAATGAGAGAGATACTATATGTTGGGCATCTTGAAGTACTTAATGACAATTAGTTAAATGATGATTTTGAGGGTGAAAATACTTTTATAAGCAGAGAAATCTTTTTATGAGTATGTGTTTATTCCATACATGCATAGCATTTATAAATGTACTCCATAAAAACTCTTGAAAGCCCTAAAATGTTGCATGTTCTGGATGATTTCTCAGTTTTCCACTGTATTGAGAAGTTATTTCAGATACATAAATGGCTACTTATAAAGCTAGACCATTGTGTTTGGTATTGTTCTTCAAATTGAGTAAAGTTTGAGAAAAGTGTGCACATGCCTACATGCTTTACATGCTTGCCTACATGCTTTATGATGGGTGTAGGTGGAAATTGGGTCTAATGAAATCAAGCAGTTGAAGGAAACCTGTCACTCTCAAGACTGTCAGAAACCCTGGGTTCCAGATACCTCTGGGAACTGAAGATCTCTTTGCCACGATGATTCCAAACGATCTGCCCTACAGTTGGCAAGTTACACTGGAATTAATGAATTAATTAAATTGCAATATAGTTGACATACAATATTATGTTGATTTCAGGAGCACTGCATTGTAATTTGACATTTGTATACATTATAAAATAATCACAACAGCAGCCGTCTGTTTCCAGTTACTAGAATATTATTGACCATATTCCTTAAACTGTGTATTACATCCCTATAGCTTATTTATTATATAATTAGAGATTTGGACCTCTTAATCCCCTTCGCCTACTTTGCCCTTAACCCCACACCACTTCCCTCCGGCAACCATCTGGTAGGCAGGACTGGTCCCTATACTGGTTGGCTGCAAAGCCTGGCTTTGTTAGGTGTCTGTGGGCCCACTGGAGGGCAGGGCCAGGTCCCAGTGCAGCTGTCTGCAAAGCCTGGAGGGCCTCAGGTTTGGAGATGACCCAGTGGTAGGTGGGGCTGGGTATTTGCCCGGCCGTCTGAGCAGCCTTGAGGGTGTAGGGCTGGTGCTGGCCCTCTGACGGATGGGGCTGGGTCGCCACATAGCTGTCTAAATGACCTCGGGGGCCCAGGGCTGGTGCTGGCTTGCTGGTGGACAGGTAAGACCCTGGCACTAATAGGCTGGAGAGAGGATTCCGGAATGACACTTGCCAGTAAGTTGTTATTGTGGTAGAATGAGATCCCCCAGATGGCTGCTGCCAGGGTCTCCATCCTCACGGGGAATTCCACTTTCCTCCCGCCTCTCCATGGTTAGCAAGTGGGTCTGACCCAGGCCCCTTTGAAACTACTGCCTCTGCACTGGGACTTGGAGCTTGTGAGCTTATGCACATACCCTGTAAGGGTTGGAGTCTGTTTCCCAAAGCCCTCTGGTTCTCCTGAACTAAGCCCCGCTGGTTTTTGATATAGGACTCCTGCTCTAGGGAGCCCAGGGTGGGGCTTTTACCTGTCACTCACTGGGGAGGACATCTATGATTATGATATTCCTCCCACTTGTGGGTCACCGATACAGGGGTGTGGGTCCTGAGCTACACAGTGTCTCCACCCCTCCTACCTATCTCGTTGTGGTTCCTTCTTTATGTCTTTAGCTGTGGAAAAGCTTTTCCGCTAGTCCTCACGTTGTTCTCATACATAGTTGCTCTGTGAGGAGTTGTGA